CCATCTCCCGTGTCTTTGTCAGTACCACTTCAACATATCAAACTATGTCTAGGTTAATAAACGACGAGAAGGCTATAAATTTACAATGGCATATTTTTTCTGGCGTCCTGTACACATTGATTGATTTGCACACTCGAGCCAAATAACTGGAAATAGATGAGAGGCATTTAATTGACCAAAGAATTGAATCTTCCGAAAACGTGTTCATTTCGCAAAATAAATTTGCATCTTATAGGAACTTTAAAGGATCTGTGGCTGCCGATCAAAAACTAGTAACAGATAATAGGTTCGACGGGTTCCAAAAAGATCGTGTTTGCAGACTACATACAGATTTGGAGGTCAATCGAAAGCTCAGAGAATGGACAGACCTTACAAACTGACTTGGATCGCTTGCAAAATTGGTGCTAAAAATGGCTACTGCAGCTCAACTTCAACAAATGCCAAGTCATCCGCTACGGTCTAGCCGAAGAAAGGTGATACAATTTGATTATAACTACTTGATCGGAGGTCACCAACTCGGGCAAGTGAACGAACTACGGAATCTAGGTTTATTATGACGCCCAACCTCAAACCGGCAACTCACTGTGCCAAAACCGCAAAGAAGGCTGTGTGCATCCTAGGAGCGATCAGAAGGTCCTTCCTCTATTTTGATGAGGACCTTTTGGGCGAGTCTTCGGAACATTTGTTCGACCGATGTTAGAGTATTGCGTCCAGGTGTGGTGCCCCTGGATGAAGAAAGATTACGCAGTGCTGGAGAAAGTCCAAGGAAGGGCGACCAAGCTAGTCAGCAGTTTAGGAAATCTACCATATGAAGGTCGCCTAGATAGGCTCAATCTTTTTCCTCTGTATTATAGGCAATACAGAGGAGATATGATCAAGGTGTTTAAACTCGTCAGGCGAGTAGACTTTGCTCTTCAGATGGCTGACTTCTTTGAATTCGCACAAACGATACATCTACGAGGTCATCCGTACAAACTGAAGAAACACCATGCTAAACTAGAAGTGCAGGCAAATTTCTGTTCCAACCGGGCCATTGAAGACTAGAACAAACTTTCTTCCTCAGTTGGTCTTGCTGAAAGCGTCGACTCATTTAAAAGGAGACTCGATCTTACTTAACTTGCTGGTCATACATTTGGTAGACAACAACGATTTGTATAATGCATATAATGCTTTGAAACATATTCATGATCTAACAGCATCTATCTGTAAATAGGGTTTTCAAAGGCTCTGCCTATCTCCCTTATATATACTTAATTATAAAAGGATTGCTTCTAGAAGGTATGAAAACGAACTGGAGCCATTAGCACGAGGCAATAACTTACGGGGATGGCTGCTGAGCGGTGCGACGATCAATGACGGCGTTTATGCCATAAGCAATGCTAGGGTCAAACTGGGAAGCCAGTCGGGAACGCAGGGCTGCGATGCTGGCTGACGTGTTTTCCGGGCGCACAGGAGGCCTGACGGCGTTCGCCTGCCATCGCTGTGAGGGCACCGTTGACTGTTAGAAGAAAAGGGAACATTAAATGGAATCCTGGTTAAACGATTTACTCAAGTATACCCATTACTGTGAGATTTGAGGGAATGCAGTAAAGTATCCGTGTGTTGATACCCGTACCTTGTACAGGGAAAGAAAAACGAACACGTTAGGCTTGACGGTTTCACACTCATTTGTGGGGTGGGGGACGGAGAACTGTTGCCTAGGCAAGTAGGAGGATATCTCGGGTGGAAGATAACTGTTGATAAGTAAAGAACGCTCTAACCAACTGAGGTACGAGGCCTCGCCGGGAGCCGCTGTCGTGGGGGCCTCGTAGCTTAGTTGGCTAGAGTGTTGGTTGTACTAAAGTCCACCTCTTGCAGTAATCTTGGCGGATAAGTCGGTCTTAGTGAACTTTAACTCACGGCTCCCGGTGGGGGCCTCGTAGCTCAGCTGGCTAGAGCGTTCTTAACTCATCAACAGTTTATCTTTCACCCGAGATATTCTTCTACTTCCCTTAGCAACAGTTCTCCGTCCCCCACCCCACAACTGAGTGTGAAAATGTCAAGACTAACGTGTTCGTTTTTCTTTCCCTGTACAAGGTACGGGTGTAAAAACACGGGCACTTTACTGCATTCCCTCAATTCTCACGTGTTGTACTAAAGACTTCTGCTGGCTGGCGTGGGTTTGAATCCCACCGAGCTGGCCAAGTTTTTCATCAGTGGGTCAAAAACGTTATTGAAATTTGCCAAACCCTTCCGTACTAATGAATCAGTTTACGACAGCCCAATAAGCAGGAAAGGAGAAAGGGCACGACAGGAAATGAAACTGTTAACAAAGAAAACTTACACATTTCGACGTAAAAAGTCTGTAAACTAATAAAGCTGGAGAATTCAAAGTTGCCTGAGACGTTCAGTAAATCAGCCCGATTACCAAACGGGACAAAGCCGGTCATGTAGTTCTGGCATTTCAAACCGCCCACTACCGACCTCCTGTTTTTGGAAAGGCCGGCTGACAAAAACCAAATAGAAAGAAATGGCTATTCCCATCATCGTTTTTATTCACACAACGCCATCATCTGGGCCGGAGTCCAAAGCCAAAAGAAAACTTTCATATCCCAGATACATATTTCACTGATATTTTACCGCTGCATGGTACAATGGCAAGGGGAACGGCATTCTAAGGGTGCTTTCTGACAAATACTCCAATTACTCCACATACCCTAATTTTGAATATTACGTAGTAATTCCATTGAAACTGACGGATCTCGGCTCAAATCAATGTTTGGGCTAAGGATGCAAAGTTGCATTCCGAAGGATTATCTAAAAGTTTTAAAAAACGCAGCAGTACGTACTGCCTACTGTAGCGTTGGGTCAGCCCCCACGCATCTAGTCTTGGAAGTTGCCCGACTCTTACCCGTGCCGTACTGGCCTTCTGTTCAAACCAACGGCAGAGACATTTCCGACTAACAGACTTCTTCTCAAATGAAACCGTTAGCACTCGCTGCGACAATATCGCAAAGATACCCCAAGCCATCCAAGAAAGAAGACTTAGGTGGTTTGGAAAAGTTCTTCGTCACATTATAATGCGTGTTTAGTGCGCGGTAAGTGCACAGTAAAAAATAAACTAAAGCTGATTGTAATTGGTTTACTTAAATAAAGTCGTAGGGGAAAAGAAAGCCTGCAGACCAATAAAAACTATTAGAGCAACCCTAGTGGTTAATAAAAGAAACATCTACAACAAGAAAACTATCAGAGCAACTCCTTTGACCATTAGGTTGCTTGTTGGTTAATAAAGGAAGCTTATGTCTATTAGGCGACTTCGCAAGAAAGCCATACCAAAAATGCTTTCCGATAACCTGGTTATTAGGCCTTAGAGCATAATCTAACTGTCACCGCGTACTACCTCCATATGTACGTGATCGTTTACGTGCTACTGTGAAAAAATCTATACGAATAAGGGGGCCAGTGTTTATAGAAAAATGATGAAGCGGGAGATGCCAGCATGATTTGTAAAAGGAGAATAAACAGTTCTATCGGCACGCACCTGATTGCCGGGTGGATAGTAAGGAAAAGCATCCCACGATGGAATCCAAGTCTCTGCTAATCTGGCAATGCTTACTCCCTGAGCTATGGGAACACATCCTATAGGGTGTGACTGAAAATATTATGTTAAATGAGGACGCCTCCGGGATACTACTGACTGGTGATGGAAAAGGAATCGAAATGGAGACTCTAACTCCTCCGGTTCTTTGCAGCCGAAATTCTCAATTACTAATACCTAGTGGCTTGGCTGGCCGCAATCCCTCAGCCTCAAAGCAAAGCGGAAATTAATAGTTTCGTTCGGCAAGCAAGATGGACCGGTTCATGCTATTCCTGTGTGACCAAGTTGGAAATGAGTAATCCATCCACTTCCTTGTCTTTTAGTCATTCGCTCCTTGTTGTTAAGACTAGAACCTTCGACAACGCCACAAATATACTATAAAATACCTTCTCGTGGTGCAAGTAATTTTATTGTAATACCTCCGATATAGCCTGAAGCATTTTTTGTCCCACGCCATTGTCTCATCCCATTACTAAGTACTCTCTTATAAGTTCCTTAATGAATTCGGGTGATCTAAAGTTTAGGCAATACAATGCCCATTTTGGATTCTGACATACATATCAAAGATGACTAGGATTAGAAATCTTAAAAACACATTAAAGTGTGTTGAGCTGGCTGGAATTAGGCATTGTCCGGACACCATCTTCCTGTCCAAATCTTGACTGATATAGTACATGCACAGCCAAGTAGCAGATTGTGAAAGAATGGTGGTGCTCCTGGGAAATTGAGAGAGACTGAAGAGCCAATTTCGAGCCAATGGACGGTCTTTACCTGGTAATTTTGCCTTGACGCTCCGGGTTCTGTTGAAGAGCTTTCGGAACTTTTCGATATCGATGCAGAGGAAGTACTTGAGATAACACCAGTATGACCAACCGGCTTGTCCTTTCGAACACGCGCGGTAGCACGCGATTCGAAAGTCGGGTGAAGCATTTCGCTCTTCTGGACCGAAGACTCATCCCGCGACTCGAGCTCAACTAAAGAACTGGCTGTCGTGGCAGAATCCGTCACAGTAGGGTCTTTGCGT